AAATATTGAGAGTGCCACATATTGGACTCCTATTGGCAATGTTCAATCTTACCCTACTGCAATAAGTTATAACAATCAAATCGTGTAAGTCATTATGCCACAAGGCTAGGCAACATTGTCCTGCTTTGTGCATGGTTTTGTAGCCATTCTAAACCAAGAATGCAGTTGGCTGCAAGTAACAGAATTGCCAACGAGCAGCCATTCCAAAATGAGATCATCCCATGTGACAAGAAGTGGGTGGTCAGGGGGTAGAGCAGTGGCTGGGCTAGGACACCCTCGAGGGTCAGCTCCGTCTTTGCATGTCACTCTTTCAGGTTGGCTTGTCACCTTGCGGTTGCAAGTTGGTTGCTGCAGGTCCCAACACATCATCCACTCACAGGAAGAAAGAAGAGGGTGAAGAAGAGACTACTCAGCAGGGCTGTCCCTGAGCCCTCCTACTGCAAGTCCAGAGTCGCCCCTCGGAACGCTTCTACTTACATGTCATGGCAAGAACTTTATCGTATGGCCAGTGCTTGCTATGGAATAAGCCAGAAAATGTGTCCTTAGGTTTCTGGTCCATGTGGCAGAGAAAGGTGAGGACAAAGGGGTGAGAGAACTGGCTTCCCGTGGTCAGCACTGCTCGCACGCACATGGCTTTTCCGTCTTTTCAAAAGATAAACATCATTATAAACCTTCTACTGCACCCTCACACTCACCAATTCTAGAACCCTTGAAACTTCCACAGGGAGATCCAAATAGTGGTCCTGGTGAGGTGTGCTCTCTGTCCTTGAGGGCAGCACCTCCCGGGTGTTCTCAGGGAGCACGGCTGGCACAGGCCCAGCGTCCACGCTGCAGAGCAGGGGCATCTGCCTCAGGGCTAATGAGGGAACCCGAGGCCCATCGGCCTCGTGCTGCGCTTCCAAGCAGTGGATAATGACCATATCTCCTGTGCAGGAACCAGGGCCCACCCCGGACCCACCCCCTGCTGCCCTTGTCTTGACTTCCCAGCCCTCTGTCCCCACCTAAGCTTTGTGCCACTGGAGGCGTTGCCAGCGAGCCAGAGCAGGAAGCCCAGGCAACCTGTGTTGTTTTTAAACCTACTGAACCAGCTTGCATTCAGTCACGTTAATATCTAGTTAATGACGATGGTGACAGCTTCACATGAATAGCAACTGAGCTTTTCAAGGTAGAGTAGATATTTCTGTCAAATGTGTTTCTCAAAGCCTGTGATCCTGTTGAAATGAAAATTCTCATTGTATTTTCCTATGTCACAAAACTTTAAATGGCCCTTCCTTAGTGCAAAGCAGAAAGAGGCGCTGAGACCAGGAACCATAGAACGAGAAGGAGGCACCAAAAGTTTGATTGGAATTCCTGCCCCATGGCTGTAGCCTATCCCTGCAGCCAATCTGCCCCTGCTCTCCCAAGCCAGTGCAAAAGGAGAGGTGATTGCTAGAGGAGGTGTAAGCAGTAGATCCACCAGGCTGTGGGTCCTGCTGGAATGTAGCTTGCGGGTGGCAGCAAGTGATACTAAGGGCTGGGACACTCCACAGGTAGGGGACCAGGTAGGCAGGAAGCTGAGGAGAAGGGACATATGGAGTGATGGGCAAAGAAAGTGGGCAACCCATGTCTGAGTCTGGGGAGACCCAGAGCAACTCATCTTGAAAAAAACTCAAGTTTTCAGAAAAGTTAAATGAATAATAATATCGAAATGTGTATTCTGTGTTCACCAGTTGCAGACCCTTTGCCCAGAGTGTCTTTCTCTCACTCACAAACAAATGGTGTGTGTGTGTGTATGTGTGTGTGTGTATTCTTAGTCCATTTGGTTGCTATAGCAAACTTCCATTGAGAGGGTGGCTTAATATGACAAAAATTTATTTCTCTCAGTTCCAGGGACTAGAATTCCAAGATCAAGGTACCAGCAGGATTGGTTTTGTACTGAAGAAAATCAGCTTCTTGGTTCATAGATGACCTTTTACTTCTTTTTTTCTTTTTTTTCACATGTAGCTCTCTTTTAGGTATTTTAGTATTTTGGATATATTTTAAAAATGACTTCCCGTTGGCGTATTACAGTTATACATAGCAATGGACTTTGTCGTCACACATTCACACACAATTCATGCACACAATATAACTGGCCAGTTTCATTGCCCAGTCCCTTTCTTTCCCTATCCTCTTCCTCTCCTGGTCCCTTCCTCTTCTCTACTGATCTCTCTTCTATTTTCCACGAGATCTTCCCACTTTCCCCCCCTTAATCTCTCCAGTCCAATCCTCACGTGGCAGAAGAGGGAAGGCAGCTCTCAAAGGTCTTCTCGTGTGGGCACTGATGCCACCCATGAGCCCCACCCACCCCTCCTAATAGCATCACCACAGAGGTTCGGATTTGAATCTGGAGGAGGCACAAACATTCAGAGCATGGCATTCTGCCTCAGCAACCCCGAATCCTTGATTCTTTTATGCGAAATATATTTGAAATTGGCCAAGGCCGGGGCACAGCCAGCCATAAATTCCTTAAATAGCAAAGTCTTGAGTTTGCTTTCAGGAAAAGCCTCCAGAATGCACTCGAGGACAGCTTAGAATGGGATTTTCAAGAGTGGACATGAGCAGAAGCAGCAGCTCTCTCCTCCACGACATCACAAGCCCCAAATCTCTTGCCCAGAATGTGATCACTCTCCCGCAAAGAGGCGTGCAACCTGTGCAGAGCCAAAAGGACTGCTTGCCCCCCACACAGAGAGATTCTGAGACCCTCCATCTCCCTTCCCACCAACGAGCTCTGTGTCATTTCTCCCCTACCACAAATCCCACCACTACCAACTTATGGGACAGCAGATTTGAGCTCTGCTTTTAGCTTCTGGCCTCCTAAGCTATCGACTACCCAATGAACCTTTTTCTTTTTGCAAAAATCAAGTGCCATAGTATTATTGGCTTCCATACATGATGGGCAGCAAGCCCTTACCTGATGACACATTCATTCCCTCCCAACAGCTCCCAGAATCTTAACTCATTGCAGGATCAGTTCTAAGGTCTAAACCCCAGAGTCTCATCTAAATCTGGAGGGACAACTCACCCTGAGGCAAAATTGTCTCTGTGTCTGAGAGACAATCAGGCTGTGTGCCTTCTAAATACATGGTTGTGACAGCCCTGAGATGGGGGTTCCATTCCAGAAGGGAAAGACAGAAAGGAGAAAGGAGCCATGGGAACTCCACCTAACAGAGCAAACACACCACTCTCTCAGAGGCAGGTTGCAGGGTCTGTCACCAGACACCCCTCCTGGTGGCCATTCGGTTGTGGTTCAGTTGGCTCTGGTAGAGCTATGACATTGTAGGGGCAAGGAAAATTTCCCTTGCACTCTCCAAGGGTTCACTGATGAACCCAGACTAATTCCATCTTAAGATTGGGAGCTATCTGGTCACAAAGTCATGAAAAGTTAATTTCTGTTTCACTATAATTTACTGCTTAGAATGCCTGCCCGTGCCTGGAACTCACCCATGCCTTGATTTCCCTGACCAGATAACAACCCTCTCTGAAGCCTTAGCAGCGCCTCATAAGTTCTGGAGTTGGGATCTAAATTTACTCCCTAACTTGAAATGTTGAACCATTTAGATCATTAAACTACTATCCACCTTTGTATTATGCTTGTCAAAATCCTGTTAGCTGTAAGTGCTCAAGATACCTCCCTTTTGTGCTATAAAACCTTGTTCCTGGAGAGCTGGGGTACTGTCCCCTAACCCAGGGATTTTGGGAGAGACAGTCCCGGCCGGCTGGAAAGACAAGCTTGCTTTAATTTGATTTAAAATTGGAGTAGGTGGTCTTTTCTTTGTGTCGTGGTTTAACATCTAGAGGCCACCCACAGTGAGATCAAACTGCCAAACATTCTGTAGCCGGACCTTTGCTCTGGGACTCTAGGCTGGAGAGCCACTCTAGTGGGTGCACACCTTGAGACATTCCAAGGCCCCGGGTGTGCCTTCGGGTTTATCGGATTGCTGGAGTGCACTGCGGCACTAAAACAATTAGCAAGCATTTGGTGGAGGAGGCCTCCATAGGTAAGTGGCATCCTTATAATATCTGGTATTCGTTAAGAGAGATCACCCCTCAGAGTTATACAAAAGTACATACAAGAGGAAGTGAGGGGAAAGGGAAAAACAATACAAGGGGGACAAATGAATGTCAGTAGAGGGGGCAGAGAGAGAAGAGGGGAGGGGAGGGGAGGGGAGGGGGGATAGTAGAGGATAGGAAAGGCAGCAGAACACAACAGACACTAGTACGGCAATATGTAAATCAATGGATGTGTAACTGATGTGATTCTGCAATCTGTACATGGGGTAAAAATGGGAGCTCATAACCCACTTGATCTAAGTGTGAAATATGATATATCAAGAACTATGTAATGTTTTGAACAGCCAACAATAAAAAATTTAAAAAAAAAGAGAGAGAGAGAGAGATCTCTTCTGGGGACAGAGGTGCCTGGCGAGGCTCATACCCTCTTGACCAGGACCGCAGTGAAGTGTCGCTCTGTCCTCTGTACTGGTTCGGTAAGGAACTCCTCTGGGAGGACAGACAGCTGTCTGACTAGGCACATGCGCGCTCCTGTCTGGAGCATCAGCAGGACGGGAAAGTCAACCAACAACTCTTAACACTGATTAGCACATTCACTGGCGGGAACAAGTTGGGTAGGGGTGATTGGTTAGTACAAGAGGGGGATTCCTTTGAGCTGATTGGTTTAGGCCACGAGGGGTGTACGTGCTAAACTACATGGTTTCCCAACATGTTATCAACCACCATAAACTACTTGGGGGTCATCTGCCATCCCAGGTATTTTCCCTGTCTCATGCTGATTGGAGGTTGCTAGGGGGGTTGCTATGGGTCCTCACCTAACCTGACTGAGTCAGGGACACCTGGTGCCGCAGATCTCTCCTGTTATTTGTAGACAAACTACTCAGCAGGGTGGGAATGTGCCTAGGAGTGCTCTGTGGGTTTTTCCAAGAACAAGGGTCATGCCCCCTTCCTTAGGACAGGCCTTGAGGTAGAAGCTGCTATTATTTATTTATTTTTTAAAATGGAGTCACATCAGTTTCTCAGTCAGACCCGCAGGGGAAGTTATCTACAACCCCAAAGGTCAATTAGGCTTCCTGGAGAAAGCCTGAGAGAGGGGAGGGGAACTGGCCCCTTTCCCAGGCCAGTTTCTCACCATAACATTTTTACTTTCATTTCACAGCCAGGTCTGGTTCTGCCATCACCGTCTTTATGCAGCTGATTCCGGAGGGGAGGCACCCTCACCAGCAGGACTGCTGGGGTGTGGATTTCTCTGCAAGAGGTCATTCCAGAGCTCTCTCCAACATACAGAGGTGTGTCCGAGTGCGGGTGGATTCCGCAGTCAGCTGGCGGCGGCGTGTCCTGAGTCCCATCCGGACACCTAAGGGGGCGAGGGGCTGGGTTACATTTGTGAAGTAAAAGAGGACAGGAGTCTTCATGTTTAGGTTTTGCCCCCGGACAGAGAGAGAAAGGTGAAAGGACAGCGAGGAGGCGGACACGGTGAGCGAGAAATGCAAGGCGGAGACCAGGCAGAGAGACAGGAGACAGTCTGTGGGTCAGAGGTGACAAATAAAGGCACATCCCTCCATAGTGGAGAGAGGCAATAAGACCTGGGGTTGGAGACTTTTATGGGGGTGGCTCAGGGATTAGAGCTGGGGTCCTCAGGTGGGCGATTAAGGGGGACTGGTACATCCTTGGGCGGGAAAGAATTCAGGTGGTGAAGGGCTGGGTGGGTTTGAGGGAGTGGTGAGCCTTTCTCAGAAAGGCCCAAGGGTGGGAAAGCAAAACCTTTCCTTAAAATGCCGCCTGTCACTTAAGATGGCCACCCAGATGCTAAGCAAGGACTTATAAAAGATTTTTCCCCTCCCTCCCTCCCTCTCCTCCTCCCTTCTTTCCCTTCCTTTCTATCTTTCTTTCACTGTCATATCCACAAGAATCCATTTCCCCTTCCTGACAGAAAACCTTGATTATTTGGGGATATTGGCCTTCCTCCCTCGCAGTTGGGGTGGGAGAAAATGTGGCTGCCTGCCAATGGCAGACAGAGAGACAGAGGCCTCAGCCTGCCCTGTTGTCACGAGGGGGTAAAGTTGCAATGTATACAGTCGAGGGGGAGAAATAAATGAATGTCACAGCTACCACCGCTCAATGCTTTATTCACTCAAATCACTAATACAACTTCACTCCGTAGGTTCTTAATCAAGAAAACGTCAATGTTTAATGTTGGGCACTGCAGTAGACAAAATCAATTCACAGCAAACAATTCTAGATTAATCAATTTACTAAAAACAATTCCGGATTAATTCTAATCATGACAGGCTAATGACAGGCATTCCCTCTGCAGGCTAAGTTCAAAAGTCTCAAGCCTTAGGCTTTATGTCCAGCAGATGTCCACTCACTCAGACTGCGGTGACCAGGTCTGGAACCAAGGCAGGCTTCTCCTGGGGTGGAGTGGCTGAACCATTGAGAGAGGGTCCTATGGGGAAGTTGCTGTTAGGTCGGTGGTGGCGACTTGGTGGCGACTTGGTGGCGACTTAGAACAAAGCAGCCCGATGCCAGCGGAAAAGCCTGTCAATCAGCAGGACCCCCTGGCCAATCCTGGAGTTCAGCCAGCTCCCCTGACCAACTCCAAGGGGGCAAGGGACCCTAGAAACACCTTTTCCTGTCCCAAGCCCTTCTCTTCCTGCTGTAAGCCCCATAAAAGTCCAGAGGAGCTTCTCCTCAGACCCTTCTCCTGTCCCCTCTGTGGGTCTGATCGAGTTCCGCCCGGGAGTGATGTCTCAATAAAGCCTCCTTCAGCGGCCCTTTTAAATCTGCCTCCTTTGGTCGCTGCCCGCCTCGCCTGATCTGACAGTTGCAGCTCTCACCAAGGTCCAGATGAGGCAGTAGAGTTTGAGAGCGGTGAGGATCACCCAGAGGATCAGGAACGATGACAAGTGATGGGATGTCAGGTCCTCATCTGGCCTCCCACTCAAGTGCATCCTTGTTTCGGCTGAGACTGCAGGTTTCAAAACTCCATTTGAAACCTGCAGTCTCACCAGGCACACCCACAGAGCCCTCCACTGTGGCCTCAGACAAGTCCCTTCCCCTCACCCTGATAAACAGAGGAAGCCCCTGGCAGGCTGTCCTCGCCTGATGGGGTGGAGACCACCAGACCAGATGTTTCTGACCCCAGGGTAAATGATGTCACTGAGAAATCCGGTGGTAGCTGATAAGGATTGAAAGGGAGGTCAAAAAACCCCAAAATTTAGTATAAATGATCGAGCAAATGAACAGGGATTCAGCCAGCCAAAACAAGGGTGCACTCGGGCTGGAGGCCTGATGAGGACCTGACATCCCATCATTGTCATCGTTCCTGATCCTCTGCGTGATCCTCACCACTCTCAAACCCTACCGCCCTGTCTGGACCCTGGTGAGAGCCACAGCTTCTTCCTATGACCCTCTCCTCAATGGGTCATCCACTCCACCCCAGGAGAAGCCTGCCTTGGTTCCAGACCTGGTCACCGCAGTCTGAGTGAGTGGGCATCTGCTGGACATAAAGCCTAAGGCTTGAGACTTTTGAACTTAGCCTGCAGAGGGAATGACTGTCATTAGCCTGTCATGATTAAGTGTGTTTTGCAGTGCTTAGAATTAACCTAGAATTGTCTGCTGGGAACTGATTATGTCTATTGCAGCCCAGCATTAAGGAGTGTCTTGATTAAGAAGGTATAGAGCAAAATTGTATGGAGCAGTTTGAGTGACTAAAGCATCGAAAGGGGCAGAAGCGTGTGGACATTCTTTATTTCTCCCCTCGACTGCATACATTGCAATTTTGCCCCCTAGTGACACTCTATTTTGCATAAGTCTACAAATTTCCATGATAATTTTTTTTAAAAAACTCAGTAGAAGACAAGTTTTTCAAAATTCTTCAAGAAAGTAGAAAAATGCAACAAAATCAGAAAATAAAAGAAAAAGCTCTCAGTAAAATCTACATGAAAATTCAAAGGACTTTAAAAAAAGAAAAAGCCGTGGAGCAGGGTGCAGTGGTGCACGCCTGTGATCCAGTCACTTGGGAGGCTGAGGGTGGCAAGTTCAAGGCCAGCCTGGGAAATTTAGGGAGACCTTGTCTCAAGATTTAAAATAAAATAAAATAAAAAGGACTGTTGATGTAGCTCAGTGGTAGAGGGCCCCTGGGTTCCATCCTCAGGACAGCAACAAACAAACAAACAAAGGCTATTGATAGAGGAGTGTGGACTTAAGGAAAAGAAAAAGGGCAAGAAATTTTCAAAGACATGGTTCCTGATGACTTCTCTAGAACAGAGCTGTAAGTGTGAGTCTCTACTTGCATTTTTTTTTAAGTGTTGACAGACCTTTATTTATTTTACGTGACACTGAGAATCGAACCCAGTGCCTCACACATGCCAGGCAAGTGCTCCATCACTCAGCCCCAGCCCCAGCCCTCTACTTCCATTTTTCAAAATATAAGAAAAAAGAAATGAAGCTAATTTTGATAATATATTTCATTTTCTTTAACCCAATATACTTGAAGTATTTCCATTTCCACGGGAGTGCTAGTTTCAAGGCCCCGTGGCACGTGTGGCAGGGGCTGCTCTGTCAGAGCCAGAGAACTCAAGCTCCCAAACTGGAAGGGTTCCACAAGTTCCAAGAATGCCCAGTCCAAAAATCAAGGCACGTTTCCATGGCAACTGGGTGGTGGGGGCAGTGAACACTTCTCCACATCTGCATAGAGGGAGTCAAAAGCAGCGTCTCACACAAGCCAGGCCTGGGATGACACCAGGTGTCTCACAAATGATGCTGGAGGCTGTGGACCATGAAGCCACGTCCTTAAAACTGAGAAGTTATGTTCAGTGTGGAATTCTGTATCCTAGCAAATTAGCCAAGGTTGGGTGTAGAACAGAAATCAATTCCTTAGTTATCAGAGAGGACTTTAAAATTGTTACCTGCCATGCATGTTTTCATAGGAGACCCTAGGTACCCTAGGAAGGAAGAGGGAGATGTTGGCAGCAGAAGAAAAGGGATCCGTCCAGTCAGGAGAAGGAGAGGTGGAGAGGGAGGCTGCAGGACCTCAGGCATCAGCTGGTGCAGAATGGGACCAGATGCTCAGGGCCCCAGTAGAGACACCTCAGCAAAGACACCAGTTACAGGGGCTTGTCAGGCTAACCTAATGGAAAGACAAAGCTGAGGAATATTGCAGGAAGACAGCGTTGGGTGAGGGGGTGTGATCAAAGTGCCCCGAGAGCCAACTGTTTGAGGACAGTACCCACGCGGCTCACTGAGAGCTTTTACACAGGAGAGAGTGTGAGTGGAGAGGTGCAGCCATCTCCATTTCCCACAATCAGGCATCAACACGTCACGGTTAAAAGTGAAAAGTTCAGAAATACAGCACAAGCCCATTATTTAAAAACAAGTAAATGCCAAAAGAACTAGCTGTAACAATTTTTTTTGGAAGTACTATCTTTCAGAAAGGGCAGACCACCAGCAGTACACTGGGGAGAACCTTGCAAGCTCTAATCCAACTTTGATAAAAACAACTCAAAAGCCTGCATGGCCAGCGACCTGGAAGCAAGCAGGCACAGAGCCACGTCACGCCCAGGTTTGCTTCTGTGTGCATAGCTGCAGCGCGAGGCTTAGGCACCAGCACAAGATCTGGCTGTGTTAAAGACTGAAGAGCCAAGCCACAATTCCAGCCTATGGAGCAGTGAAAACCCTGGGCTGCAGCCCTGCTGCAACTGGCGTGAGCAGAACAGGTGGCTTTCACTTTCCTACCCCCAGGGGGCAGCTCTGCATAGGTGGGTTTGGGGCTGGTGTCACCACTCCTTCAGAAACACCCATATGGTGGGGAGGGTCGTCAACCTACAAATGCAGGCGCTTGTGAAATGAAAGACTCAGGAGTGTACTCCCAGGCCTCAGGCCTGTAATAAATTTTGAGTGCCCTTTTTCTTTTTTCTCTTAAGTTTCTGCCATAGAAAGGTAAGATCCGCCTTCTGGGCCATAGTCTCCAGCATCATAGGAGGATCAAGGCAGGGGGCAGGTCGGGCAGGGTGGGTAGGGACAGCTATTCCTCTCTGGTCCTTGATCCCAGGTCTGAATGGTTTACTACCACATCATCTCCCGTCCTGCCAGCTCCACCTAGGATCTGTCTTCCTGTTGTGGTTTAGATGGGGTGACCCCTCAAATGGCACATGGGAGCAATGCAAGAAGGTTTGGAAGAGAAATGATTGGACATAGCCTTGACCTAATCAGTGAATTAGTCCCTGCTGGCATTAACTGAGTGATAACTAGAGGCAGGTAGGGTGTGGCTGGAGGAAGTGGCTCACTGGGGCGTGGCTATGGGGTATATATTTGTATCTGGTGAGTGGGGACCTCTCTCAGCTTTCTGATCAC